GCGCTCCCTACTCCACAGAGATCAGGAACCAGGCTGAAGGCGCCCACCAGCACTCCCCGCTTCACAGAGCTCAGGAACCGGGCTGAAGGTGCCCACCAGCACCCCCTGCTCCACGGAGATCAGGAACCGGGCTGAAGGCACCCAGCAGCACTCCCTACTCCAGAGAGATCAGGAACCGGGCTGAAGGCGCCCAGCAGCACTCCCTACTCCACGGAGATCAGGAACCGGGCTGAAGGCGCCCAGCAGCACTCCCTACTCCACGGAGATCAGGAACCATGCTGAAGGCGCCCAGCAGCACTCCCGATTCCATGGAGATCAGGAACCGGGCTGAAGGCGCCCAGCAGCACCCCCTACTCCACGGAGATCAGGAACCGGGCTGATGGCGCCCATGTCCCAGGGTGAGGAGTGACGTGAAGTCCACGCAGACATCTGGTTTAGGCTGTGTTCATCAGCAAGATCCCCTGATCGCTGTACCTATCTGAAACTTGTATTGAATTGGAGCAGAAAATTCACACCTGCTGTAGCAAATGTTAGAGAACAAGAATCGATGACTTTTTTGTTTTGCCTTCCTGGACCACCTGGACCAGGGTGTCTCGGTGCAGGAGTGGGACAAGCTGGCTGCGGCCAAGCCCTCCGGCCCATCCTCAAGTCAAGCTCGGCACAAAGCCACCAAAGGCTGCCACTGCTCCAGAGTGAGACGGCCATCGGAGCCGAAGACCAGGGGGTCCCCACAGCGGGGGCGGATTAAGCCAATAAGCAAGGTAAGCACGCACTTACTTGTGCTTACTTACTAACCTATAGTGAACAATTTCATGTGGGTTTCCACCACATTTTCATCAAAGATGTGGCGAAACCCATGTGAAATTGTTCACTACAGATTAGTGAGTACATATAAGTAAGCCTGTGCTTACCTTGCCTACTGTACTGGGTCATTCGCCTGTAAGGGATCATATATTTGAAAGGAGGCTTTGATTCTGCAGGAAGGTGCTGTGGGGTTGGGAGAGAGACAGATGCCAGCCATACCTAGAAGCAGAACCTCTGATGTGAAAAAATCTGACATGGTTCACTACAATGATCTGGTAAGCAAGGTAAACACCATGCTTACCTTGTCTACTGGATAATTCGCCCCTGCTCACTGCCATCCCCAGCTCTGGGCAGACTCTTGTGGAGCCCTCAAGGGCTGAGGGATGGTGGGGAGCAGCGGTGAGCGTGGAGGCAGCAGGCCAGCCCAGAAGCTGAGAGAGCACTCGGACCGTGGGGACAGCCACTCAACGGAGCCTGGGCCCCTGGCCTACCCTGCCCACACCTGCACAGCTCAGAGGCTGCAGCCTGTGGGCCTGCGGGAGGGCATACCAGGAGAGGGGGCGCCCAGTGTGTGCGAGGGAGCAAACCTGGCTTTGCTAAGTCGTTCGCTGTGACCTTGCTGTCACTTCTGAGCTGCATTCTCTATAAAATGACACCAAAAGTTAACATTCTGAAGAGTATCTCACCCCTGTGATCTGATGCCAGCAGAAACCTTAGACAGCCAGCTGTCCTCTGAAAATGTAAACAGTGTGAGATAATAAAATACTCCGGACTGCTGTGCTCTTCACCAACACCCAAGCGGCTTTCATCGCCTTAGGAAGCTGCACGCTGCGGTCATGACCCCAGAGCCAGCGGGAGCCTCCGGCCACGAGCCCGCCTCCAGGACCACGTACAACACACGTCTGCACTGATGTAAGGACAGAATATACCCGCCAGTCCACACAACTGTGCCAACGAAGGAAGTGTGGTCATTCACACTCAAAACTGAACCCGGACGTGTGCCGACCTCTGTTACTACTTGTTTTCTCCCATTTGTGGCCAAACCTAACCATGACACGTGAGCTCAAAAACAAAATGAAGCTAGAGCCCTAGCTTATGCTATATTCTACAGCGCAGGTGCATCAGAATTACACTTTTAAGTGGAACAAGTTAGGTCGGAGAACCAAGGAAACCACACGGGGAACCTTACGCTCTCTCAGACTTCAAGGAGGCCATCTTAAACTCCAAACAAAAACAACAGAACTCACAAAGACCAGCAGGAGGTTTGGCTAATGAGGAAGAAATTCTATCAAAAACATGCTGACTGTAAACGAATTAAAG